AAAGCTGGGAATGGAGCCACCATTTGTCCCAGCTATTCCCCTTCTTGGTCTATTCCCTAAAGACCTAAAAAGAGCATGCTACAGGGACACTGCTACATCGATGTTCATAGCAGCACAATTCACAATAGCAAGACTGTGGAACCAACCTAGATGCCCTTCAATAGACGAATGGATAAAAAAAAATGTGGCATTTATACACAATGGAGTATTACTCTGCATTAAAAAATGACAAAATCATAGAATTTGCAGGGAAATGGATGGCATTAGAGCAGATTATGCTAAGTGAAGCTAGCCAATCCCTAAAAAACAAATGCCAAATGTCTTCTTTGATATAAGGAGAGTAACTAAGACCAGAGTAGGGACGAAGAGCAGGAGAAGAAGATTAACATTTAACAGGGATGAGAGGTGAGAGGGAAAGGGAGAGAGAAGGGAAATTGCATGGAAATGGAAGGAGACCCTCAGGGTTATACAGTGGAGGGGGTAGAGAGAGAGGAGGGGAGGGGAGGGGAGAGGTGGGGAGGGGGGAGGGTGGGGGATGGGAAAGGCAGCGGAGCACAACAGACACTAGTATGGCAATATGTAAATCAATGGATGTTTAACTGATGTGATTCTGCAATCTGTGTATGGGGTGAAGGTGGGAGTTCATAACCCACTTGAATCAAAGTGTGGAATATGATATGTCAAGAAATTTGTAATGTTTTGAACAACCAACAATAAAAAATTAAAAAAAAAATAAATAAATTTCAGAAATAGTAAAAAAAATAATAAAAAAAATAAAAATAAAAATTATAACTTTAGGATTAAAACATAATAATTACAATATTTTATTTGAAGACATAAAAATATTGAATATGATAACTTTTCAGGAAAAAATATTCTTTCAATATTCAAGAATTTATTTCCAGAGATCTTTGAACTAATTTTGCTTGTAAAATTGGAATGTGGCAGGTGAGGGGAGATGTTGCTTCAAAAACTATTAAGATTATGTATGCATGTTGGGGTGATATGATGTCAGCTCATTCTTAAATCTTGGTTTCTTTCTTGAAATTCATAGAAGTAAACATATACCATATAATTTTTCATGTTGTGGATTCTTGGCGTGATTTTATCTCCCCCCGCCTCCCGCACAGAACCTATTAAGGTTTGATTTATTCTAGTTTAAGTCCTAAAGCAATTCCCAAATCTGAAACTCGTCTTTTTATTTAAATATTTCCTTTGAGGCTGGGGGGTGTTCTGGAAGGAAATCTGAGTGAGGTCTGTGGGAGGCTGCCTGCACCAGACTGTCCTTACTGCTTGCTAGTATATTACCTGGGGCAAGTCTTTTTCTCTTGGAGCCTCTTGGAATTTCATCTTCAAACTGCACCCTTGAATTACTTAAACTCCTAAATGTCATACTCTTCTGGAACTTGCTTGACAGTTTGCTAATCTGCAATCTCAGGCACATGACATCCAAATTGGATTAAAAGTTGAAAATGTGGATGACTAAAAGTATCAGGCAGGGAGCAATAATGGGAGAAATGGGATGCAGAAGATACTATTGGTGACTATGGCAAGCTAGAGCATCCCTGACCTGTTTCAAAACATTTGAATTTAAATTTAAAAAATATTATGATGATCAAGTTAACCAAATTATTTTGTGGGCCAGCTTTGGTCTATGAGCTGTTTAGTTCCAAATATTATTTGCATCTGATGTTTAGTTTTTCATACAAAAATCAATGATAATAGTGTGCCGCAGTCCAGCTGCAGCAAAATAACCGGGGGGGGACGAGCAACTTGTGTACAGTGATAAAGCAGGAGTGGGAGCCATTTATTGTAGGACAGGAGGGGTATATATACATTACTCACAGCTTATCTTAATTAACATAAACTAGATACAGCAGTCAACCAATAAGGAATCTCCACACTTAATGGCTCGCTGGTGTTACTTCACAAAACACTCCCTCTGGCAAAATGCCAGGTGCCATCTTGACTTGTTTACAGACCCTAACATTTAATGTTAGGAGTTTCTTAATTATAGTTTCCTCATTCCCATTTCCTAGAGGTTTTGATTCAGTTACTCTGCCTTGAAGCCTAGGAACCTGTGATTTTTAAGCATACCCAGAAATTCTGATACAAGTGGTTGAAATACCACAACTTCTAGCAAAATACTAAATTCAAGCTTTTCCATATTAAAGTTGGGAAATAGGTTCAGTGAAGCTTTTCCATATTAAAGTTGGGAAATAGGTTCAGTGAAGTGAAATGATTTGCCCAGAAAGAAATATTCTAGACATGTGAGCATCATGCCCTATTCCTGGGTGTGGGAAATTATCGTTAATCAATTGTGACACATGCTGATTTCTCAACCCAGTACTCCCCAAGCAACTTTCATACTAAATTAGCTCTTGTTTGAGACTGTTTCCTCTCTTGGCACACCCATCTAAGGCTTCCCAGCTCACAAGTGGTGGTGTGCTTATAAGAACTTCACAATGTACATTTAAATTATTTTCTCCTTACGAATTCCACTTTTATCCCCACTTAATTGAATAGATCCTCTGGAACAAGGCATGGGGTTAAAAAATAAAATGGCGAATAAAACCTTATGGATTCATAAGTACATGTAATTATTTGCTGTCTTTTGGCTGGTAGACAGAATCCATCAGAAACTCTTCACCATTTCCGTTGGATTATGGCATCCTGGGATTGTGTTCCTTGTTTTACTCTCCAGGAACTTGTTCAACTGTTGAGTTAAGGCTGAGTGTGACTCAGGCTGGGAATGTACCACGGTGGCAGAGCTCTTGTCTAGCATGCAAAGGCCTACTTCAACCCCCAGCCTCACAAAAAGAAGACTGAATATAACTGAATTCTGTGATTGACACACAGAAGCTCCGGAGACAGAACTCACCATATTTATAAGGCTGGTCTCGCCAAGCTTTGCTGTAACCACCTAGAAGATAAGCAGTTGAGAAAGCCAGAAAGCAGAGCTAGAGGCCCCTGCAATGCAGTTCCCACTCAGTGATAAAGCACAAATAGATTAGACCTGTGCTGTGCCAGATGAGTGCTCAAGGAACACTTGCCAGTGCAAATAAGGCTAAAGCAAGAACACATTGGAATTTCTGCAAGTCAGTTGTTAATCAACTAGATCCTGGCATATTAGGGCCTTTTAACACATGTTTTTGACATCTGGCCCCACGCGGCTGACAGTTAAATTATTTTGTGATTGACAGAGAAATATTTTGTACTATTGAATCATCAATTACAGTGCTGGCCAATTTTCTTTTCTTTTTTTTTTTTTTACTTTGACACTTTCTTGGTATTAACACAAATACATGATTTTATGAACCTTTCTTTGAAGCCAAGATGATCCTACTTTGTGTCTCTTTCTTTCCACCTGCCTCTTTAGGTGTGTTTTTTATACCAGACAGTTTGGCCCTGTAAAGATCATAGACTGCCCTCTGGAAGGCTGGGTGGGGGGGGTGGGCATGCAGTGAAACTATGCAAAGGGTGCCAAGTGGGAATAAATGCCATGTGATCTGGCTGGAAGGATTCCTGGAAGATTTCCAAACAATGAAGTGACACGGTCAGTTTGGACCTTTAGAAATATCACTCCAGCAGCTGTGTGGTGGAAGTTATGAGAGAGGGCCTGGTGTCCAGGTAACTGGTTGTAGTAGAAGCAAAAGGTAGAAAGGGCTCTGTTAAAAATTTCTTGGGAAATATACTGTGCACTGTGGTCATTTCCTTCTGTTGTAGATCCCATAATCATCCTCTCTGCATTGTCACAGGCAGAGTAATATGGGACTGTAATTGGAATCATGAAACAATAAATACAGGCAAACCAGTCTCATTTTTATTTCTATTTCCACCCCTATTTTTATAATAATATATTTCAGTTACATTTTTTAAATAATTGTGAAACAGTAATGGTACTTTTTTTCCCCTTCAAAAGCATTAAATGTATAAATTATCATTAGGATAGCACAACTGCTTCCTCAGGGGATCATAAATCACAAGCTGTGTTCAAACTAACCTCCTTCTGCACTAAACCTTGTTTTACAGTTACCTTGTGTATCTCGCCTCACCTTGTGCTATATACTTATAAGAATATAAAAGGTAATATCATGATCTTTAGGGTGTTTTTTACACCAATATTTTTTTAACATGGCCATCTAAAAGGAAATTTAGAGAAGTGTTGAGTACTTTGAAACTTATTTTAGAAATTTCACTCAATCTTTATCCAGGTGGAATGTTTCTGATCCCCCTTCCCAAAGAGTCTTTCTTTGGTATCAGATTCCACATTTTTAGAAAATATCTACCAGAGTAGTATTTTCATTTCAGTATGAAATGGAAAATCAGACCTTCATGCTCCTTGAATGTTTCTGGGCATGTATTTGTGGTGGTGTGGTCTCATGAACCTGGTTAAGTATCAGAGATCTTCTGTTAGCAGGTCACCCTGGGGTGAGTCTAGTTCCTCTGGACTCTGGGTTCCCTTACCTCCATACCATCTCCAGTAGTACTGACTCTGCCTCCAAAGTTGTGATGAGAACTGAAGAGAAGAGCACATCACAATATGCAGTATCTCCCAGTCAAGGAACATTCATTGTTCATTGATGCCAAACTGGGAGGCCAATCAAAGAGGCCCAAACCAAGAGGTTGGTTCTGCCTCTTCCCTTTGCCTGTAGGAGGTTTTGGTAAGTTTCAAATCTTGATGCTAGAATATGTCTCTTTTACAACTGCTTTAGGCTTTATCCAGATACCACCATGAACCAAGTATAGCATCAGAGTTTGAATGTTAAGACCCCACACAACCCTATAATGCTAAGTTGTAATCACAAGTCAAAAGCAATATTGATGGTGTTTTGCAGATGCCAGCATGCACAGCCTCTTTCCACAAACCCAATTTTGTGTTTCTTGTGTGTGTTGATTCCTGTATTTTTAAGATAACAACGCTTTACTTTCCTTAGTGATTTGCTTTGGCACACACTAAATGGATTTTCACCTCTTCTTTTTTCATGACGCTTTCACAGGAGAGAATAATTGAGCGTTTGAAAGAACAGCGGGAGAGAGATGATCGGGAAAGACTAGAAGAGATAGAATCTTTCCGCAAAGAGAACAAGGACCTGAAAGAAAAGGTCAATGCTTTACAAGCTGAACTCACAGAAAAAGAGGTGAGCCTGGAGGAACCATGAACCACATTGATGTCCTCATAAACCTGTATTCATTGAAGCTGTAAGAAACTTGGTGGAAGGGCTGTGGGAAGGCTTAGGGAACATCGTAACCTTTCTCTTGTTAAAGCTGTATGAATCGGAAGGAAACTATTTCTTGTAACTTCCTTCATCAGCAATGCCCTCTGGATAGCTTCTCTGTTCTGCTGTTTGCAGTGTAGCTCCTTGAGACTTTTCCTTGTGTTGTACCAGCTTTGTGTGGTTTAGTATATTCTGCAAGTTTTTCAAAGTTCCTTGATCCTTTTGATTGAGCATGGATGAGGATGACGAGGATAACTCCACTCTATTGAGGGTCTGCTATATGCTAATGCTTGTGTTAGATGCTTTGTATTCATTTGTGCTTCTCAAATGGACAACCCAGTATCGTAGTTTAGGAGTTGTAGCACCATGATGGACACAAAGATGGTTGCTCTTCTGGAATCTTATTTTTATATTTTAGTAAACAATTTCAAACAGTATTTTCATGCTGTAGCAAATATGAGTATAGAAGGTCAATGCCACCTGTGTTTTACTTTAAAGAAATTTCTTTTTTGGGGATTCTGGAGAGGATGCTTTGGGTTCTCACCCCATACTCCAGCAGATACCTATAACCCCTTCAGTTTTCTTGAGGATGATTTAGCGGAGATGAATGAGAAGTAGTCATAAATATTATTTTGTCTAACCTCCACAACTCTGAGATATGTGTCTACAATTGACCCATACATACCTATTTTTGCCTGTAAGAAGTGTGCATCTGCTGTCCAACTGCTTGGGCTCTTTCACCCTGCTGGACTGTCCCCATTGAACAGTTGTATATTTTCCTCCTTCACAGGAGTACCTCACCCTTGGGTGTTGGTAATGTTATACAAACTAAAGTCCTGTATGAATTGGGAATGCAAGTAAAGAAGAAAAAGATTTGATGAGTTAGAGGAGTTTTGAGGAAACCCAGAAGCAAAATCCCTAAAATTTATGCCTGCAGTGTTTTGGAGAAGAGATTATTTCCTTGAAATGAAAATTAAGAATTTAAGTCTTCTGCCTACTGTTTTACTGCTAATCCGGCTTGGGGTCCTATACTTACTATAGTTTGTGTGGAAGGAGGAAGGCACAGAAGCTTTGTCCTCATGTGTCACATTCCTCACTGATTAGAAGTGTTGTTTTTTTATACATCTACAAAATACCTTGTACAACAAATTCCAGATTAACATCTGAGGAGCACAGCCTCACTAAGTTGACTAAAATGGCCATCAAAATTCATGTTTTAAAACTTATAAAGGAGAATAGCATAGATTTGCAGTTAGCAAGGATCTTATAATTTAGATGGGGTGATTGTATGTCTTTACTATGACAAAATAACTAGATTATAAGGTCCTTTGTTGTTTCGGTGGAAGTGATATGATAAGTATATGAAATCAGAGTTGTAGACCTGTGTTGAGACTGTTATCTTCCTTTAATAGCTGGGTGACCTTCAACAAGATGCATAGCTAATGTGAGCCCTAGTTTCCTGACTTGAAACATGAGAATGGCTAAGCTGTCCCTCACAGAGTGGTTAGGAGTGTGTTGCTGGGTGATGATGCCCTTCATCCTCAAGGTCATTCCAGTGCACATGAAGCAGCCTAGCATAAATTGTTATTATTTTCAGAAAGATTCTGTGTGCTTAGTAACTCCAAGGTGCTGCAGAAAGATAAGAAAGTAATTCACACTGCCTGATTTGGGATGAAATTGGATATTTTAGTCCCATAGTTAAATGTTGCTACCCATTTCATATTTGAATAGTGAACATTGCCCTTGTATGTAGTAAAGTTATGTTCATAGATACATGCAAATATTTATATCTTTAGTTTTTGAAATTTAGATTGAACAGTGAAGTTCTTGGTTTCTGGACATGGTTGATGGCTGGAAGTATATAGGTAACCCCATGTCTGAGTTTGGGGAGATTCATTCTATCTGTTAAATCTGAATTACAAAGGACTGGAACATGCAGTCTACTTTACTCTAAAATTCAAAATATTTTTATTTTTGATTCTCCAGAAGATGTTTGAAAAACAGTGATCTGTTTAAGTAATGGAATTTGATAAAAATTTAATAGGGACCAGTATGGTGGCACATACCTCTAATCCCAGCGATTTAGGAGGCTGAGACTGGGAGATTGCTAGTTGAAAGCCAGCATCAGCAACCTAGCAAGGCCCTAAGCAACTTAACAAGACCCTGTCTCAAAATAAAAATAAATAAATTAATTAAAAGGGCTGGAGATGTGGCTCAGTGGTTAAGTACCCCTGGGTTCAATTCCTGGTACCCCCCTAATTTTTAAAAAATGGGATTTTAAAAAGTTTTAGATTTACCCTTAAGGGGAAGCATTAAAGTCAGAATCTTCTTTCGTTTTGGTCTTAGAGTCTTTATGGTCTGATAGCAGTAAATGTAAATGAGGTTCAGGGTGTCTGTTTTGCCATGATAGGTTAAGACCTTACTTCTATCATTAGCATGACTTTGAGATGTGAAAAGTGCATTTACCACACTGTTTGGTCACATTTGATTCTACTGCAATTAGATCCTGCTTGGTTCTGTAAGCTGGCCAACTTTAATTTCCTGGCCAGAGCTGACTATTGTTACCTTGGTAAGACTATATTTACCCTTTCTGTCTAATGCATACTTTATTGTTAAGTATAGAATCAGTATATTCAAATTGAAGACATAGCTAGGAGAAATTGTGGTGTTTCACTTACCAGCATTCTTTTTCTTTCAGTCTAGTTTAATTGACCTCAAAGAACATGCATCTTCATTAGCTTCTGCAGGACTGAAAAGGGACTCCAAATTAAAATCTCTAGAAATAGCCATCGAACAAAAGAAAGAAGAATGTAGCAAACTGGAAGCCCAGTTAAAAAAGGTAAGTGAGGTCTAAGAAAAAAAACAAAAAACACGCTAATTTTCAAAAGAATTCATAGAATGGGAAAGGAAAAGGCATTTTTCAAAAGAAAGAAACTCCTTATCTTTGCTGTCTACTGATAAAAGTATTACTCTTTATTCCTAAGAAGTCTACATTAAATCTGTCTGTGAACCTAAAAAATTATCTTAAGTTTCCTGCCTAAAGAAAATTTGAAAAATAGATGAAATTAGTAGAAGAAATGAAAAATATAAAAACCAGCCATTATTCTCTGGGCAAATCTCAACTATCATAAAAAATAAATGGAAATGTTTTCAGCAAACCAAGGAATCCAGGGGCCCCATTATACTTCGATGAACTAGTACTACTTTTAGAAGTAGGTTAATTTTTGTATGAGAACTTTGCAAATTTTTCCTAACAACATTAAATTCTAGAAATTCACCACTATAGTCAAGTCCCAGCATATCTGTAGAATGACTGTTTATCCTTGACCCCAGATGACCGTACTAAGAAAGCTTGTTGTGTATAGAAGGCTGTGGAAAGGAAAGCAGGGGCTTTCCATTGTCGCATTCACATGCTTTCTCTGACCTGGACATTCTTGTGGAGTGCATTTCCAGTCATGCATGGTTCCTTTGACTTTTTCCCTGTGTTGTTTGGTACGTCTGCACTCATCGTTCACATACAAACTCATAATGTTATGAGTTTAAGCATTTCGTTTCCCTTTGACAACTTATAAACTATTCAAAACAGATAAGAATTTAAACATTAACATATAAAGCATATAATAAAAGTTTGACGGTGTAATTCATATCACACTAGAATCTACAGTTATGAAGGCAAATGACATGGATGGACAGGGATGTGATGGAATCACATACTGATGGAAGAATCATTCCAAATATTTTAAAATTTAATATCCTATTTCTTATGGTGCTGTGTAACTGAAATGTGACTAAAGTTATGCTCACTTTACAGAACATTTTAGGAAATTGTCATTAGAAATTTTACACTGAGTCTACTTACTAGTACAGAAAGAGATAAATATACAAATTGAATCTCTTTATAACAAAATGGCAAGAAAAATCTCTGTATTACAAAATATGTTTCATAGTGCACTCACCATTTACCTGATTTCAAGCAATATTAAGCAGGAATCCTGAGCAGTAAATAAGAGAATTAAATTACCCATTCAAGGGCATTTAAGTGCAGTTTGGTTTGGCTATTTATGCATTGGGAGTATCATATACATTATTGACACATTATAAAAGTGCCCTTCAATATGGCATACATGCATATGCATATTAGGATATATATCTATGAAACATCATTTTTACTTAATAAAACAATTTTGTGACCATAAGGTAGGCGCCAAGATAACTTTATGAGACAGAAATTCACCAGATTCTTGGTATGGTCTTCATGATCTTACCTCACTTGTAGTGTGTGTGAGTGTGGAATGAAATAGGACCTCAAATATATATGATCCTGAAAGACACCCTCCATCAACTCTGATGAGCTGTTATGGAGGTCGGGCCACCCTGTTTATGATTTCTGTAGACCTCATGCACTGCACCCTCCTTTTTAGTGTAAGTCATCTCTGGAATTTGAAATTCCCTGGCAATTAAAAAGAAGGTTCACATATTGATGCTTATAGTTTCCATGTACATGACTTAGTTTAATAAATCAACATCTATGCAATTCAGTATAGTTTCTTCAGCATAGCTGTGGTTTGCCCGAGAGATCACTCATAGTGTTTTCCTTGTACTCTCAGGTAGACAAATTTACTGGAATTCACAGACCAAATCCTGTAAATATTATATCATTATTCCTAACAGATTTTAACATTTTGTAATATCACCAGAAGTGAAATGACAAATATGGTGTCTTTCTATAAAGAAACTATTTAATTTATGAAAGGATAACTTATTTCTAAGTATTTACATAATCTTTGCTTATACTGTCTCCTAAGTGCATAGTACAGTGAGTTTAAATAAGGTAATGATAATTTAAATATTTTTATTCCTAACCTGTAGATGTTGTTTTGTTGCTTTTGGCTCTTTAGCATTAACTACATTCAAAAGTTTAAAATAGTTTTTTTCAGTAGTCTTTAATTCTGCTAATAAATAGTTCCATAAAAACCTCAAGTACCCATCACCTTAAAAAGAATTGAGATCTACATGAAATATTTGAAATTATAAGCCAACAGTATGTGAATATGCATATAAACACATCATTTACTCATGGAAAAATAAGCAGCTATAAAAGCTTAAGGAGTGTCTGGGCCTCCTTTTAAGTAAAAGGGTTTGTGACTTGTGAATAAAATATAAAGGTTGACTAAATGAAAGCTGAAAATATAGTAGTTTTATTATGTCATAAATACACCATGTATTCTCAGTGGAACTTTGCTCAAGATTTGTGAGAATCCAGTATTTTTTGCCTTAAAATCTATACAAGATCATAGATGTGTTTATTTGAACAGGCACCTAGTTGGCCAAACACAGTGAAATCCAAAGAGAGATTTTAATTGATTTTTATCTTACGAATAATGCTTAACTTTGATAAGCTGAATTTTTACATAACAGTTTGGGCAGAACATTCATACACATTATTACTTTTAACCCTTCATTATACTGTGTAGATTTAAGACATCTTCAAATCCTTAGTGATGAAAAATGGTTATAGCAGAAAAGGAATTACCCTTTAGACATTCCATCCCTCCTCTTAAACATGGCACAGTCAGATGTTCATGTGTGAGGAAATCTTTACTGATATTGGTAAGACTGTTTAAACAATGCTAACCAAATTATGAGTAACCAGTAGTTATGAGTGTGCTTTATAATTCAGTGCATTCATCAATTATAGACATCGACATATAGAAAAGAACCTGATTATTAATGCATGGATCATATTGGTTTTTTTTTTTAAGAGTATTTGAGGTTCAAGTTGTAGAAGGTAATTGATTTGTATGACTAGATCAGTTCAGAAGCAACAGTAATTCAAAGTGTTATGATTTATGCTCCTCAGTAACTTTCTAATTAATGTCATGCTTGAGGAGAGGTATTTTTAAAACCATGATAAAATCATTATTTATTTATTCAAGTTGAAGGAACAGGAATCTGGCTCACAAAAAGGCATATCTCAGTTTAAAGCAAAGTAACAGTTTCCATAATATTTCACCCTCTACACCTTGATGTCTAGCCCCAAATTATTGGTGCAGGTATTTAAGAAATATCGCTGGAGGGTGCTATTTAAAATAATATTCAGTACATTTAAATCCAGAAACCTAAATCTGCACAAAATTGACAGGAGACCATTACAGATTCTAAAGTACTTGGAACATAACAGGATATCTTTGAAAAGTATTTATTTCTTAATTCTAAACTAACAGTAGAAACTGGTAATGGGCAATGGATAATACTGTATTGTAGGTCTCTTTTGTTATCTTACTGACTTAATTTTTTTTCTTTCTCCATTTAAGTTAATCTGATAATGTTTTGTTTACTGATATTGTGCTATTGCTAACCTGCCATTTGCTAATCTGTTATTTTTCTGGAGTTAGACTGAATAGAATATTCAAGCTTGTGTTGGTATAAAAGAAGAGCTATAAATTCAATGATAAGATTTAATTAATCTTTTATTATTACTATCTTTGAAGTTCAGGTAATAAATTGTGGGCTTGGCCAAAAGTACTTCTTCTGATTCATTGCTGGAGGCCCGCACTTCATGTATCATCAAAAGTGGACAGCTTTCTTTATTTCATGGGTTATTTAACTTGAGAAAGGGAAAGTAATACAAACCTTAAATTTCTTATTCCAGCTATTCTTTTATCGGAGCCAAAATCAACATTTGTATTTCCCTAGAGCCTCTCACTTTCACTGTGGAATGTTTAGAAACTGAAATTTCTTCTTTTTTAATGACCAGTTCGTCTGTGCGAATGCACTGGATTTGTTGAGCTAATGTTGTTTTTCTGGATCTTTCCTTCTTTCCCTGTCTGTGCTTCAATGCCTCCCCAACTTTGCAATGTAGCAAGCTGAGCAGTTGTTCAATCAGATGTACAACCCAGTAAGTCATTTCTGAAAGTTCCCGCTGTAACATATCAAAGCATGAGGATCCACTGATCACATGTCACAAAGTGCCATACTGGGGAGGCTTCAAATATATTTATTAGTCCCTTCTCATTTCCTTTCTATTCCAAAGAAATGACTTGTGCGGAGGCCATTGTCATTTCTTTTTAAATTAAAAAAAAATTAAGAACTCAAGGAAATATTCTTAGCTCTGATATAGCTTCTTTTTAATTTCAAATCTATTTTTCTGTAGAAAAAAAGAAGTCAGCTAAAGATTTACACTCATGAAATTCATCCTCAGATCCTTTGGACACAGACTAATCTATGTCAAAAGGAATAGCATTTGTAAAATAGCAAAAATTCAATGTATGTTGTGTTGATGAGATAGACATTAAATTTAGATTTAACAATAAAAATCCCTTTGAGATTAGTAAATACATAACATTATTGTGGGTTTTTTAAGACATGTTTTAAAAACATGTCATTTGATTGGGGCAAACCATAATATAGTATCCTAATAACAGATAATAGCAGTTCTCCTTATAGCTTCTCAGAGAACAAAAATCAGGTAACTAGTAAAAAAAAATTATAACATGGTCCAGATGCCACCACTATTTTCTTTTATCCTAATGATGGGTATATTTATGTGAAGCAGTTTGTTTCTTTATTTTTTAAAAAGAAGTTTTGTTTTTTTTCTTCTTTTTTATCTCAAGTTGGCTTACTGGGAGAAATGTTTCTAAAGGTGGCTAGAATTTATCATTTGGCAAATATGATCTGAACTATCATGCATTTCTAATTATCTCCTATTTATAAATTTCCATCATGGGAAAAAAGTAATAGGATGGATAAAGGAAACAAAGTTAGCTAACGACTTTTTGTTAAGCATGCTCCAGGATACATTTAGTTTGATGTGCAAGATATTCGGGTGTACTTAATTAGATTCATCCTCCACCCTTCATTCTTTACAACCAATTTTATTTTTGCAAACAGAATTCCTAAAGCCCTGTAGGAGCATCTTTATTAACTATTTCCCAAGCATGGATTTTAGCAGAGTAAGCAAAAACAATCCAGGTTTCCTTTCCCTTAGCACTTGAATGGAAGTGTTAATAAGCAGGCTGAAAACAGTAGAGAGGTGAAGAAAGACAAATAAGATTGGAATATCTTTAAGCTTGAAAACACACCCTGGGAAAAATGCATGTTCTTTTTTCTTTTTTTTAAAGATTATTTTAAAAGGGTATGAAGTAATCCTGCTGAAATTATTTCATACCTACTTGTTAGGGACAGGAAAAAAAACCTAAGCATTTCATAATTGTGGGAGGTATAAAGGACAGGTGGGGATGGCTTTGTTTCTACAGCAGTGAAAATTTATCACAACCATAGCAGGAGTTCATATCCCTGTCTGGATAGGTAGGATCAAAGACACAACTCAGTTAACTTTTAGGCTATTTTTAGAAATATTGATCACAAACATCATCAGCTTCTCCTTCACTTCAGCCACAGTGATCTTCTTCAGTATACATAAGCAAACTTTTTAGTCTTTTCAGTGACTAATTCAAAAATCATTGACTGACTTTCCTCCCCAAGTTAATTAAGCTAGTCCATTGGTTTGGCATCCTGGGAATATAGCCAACCCTCATTATTTTAACTCCCCTTGCCTACAGATATTCTCAGGGTCCAATTCTTTTTTGGACTGATAGGAACAGACCATGATGGATTTTCTCTCCTTAATAGTCTTTAAAAAATGACTATGTTTTCCCTAGTAATAAAAATAATATATGTCCACAGTACAGAATTTGTAAAGTATAGAAGGATATAGAAAAAAAAAATAACAGGATGTCTCAGTGCATAGAGATAATCACTAGGAACATTTGGGTTGCTCCCTGCCCAGGCATTTTTTTTGCTGTTACTGTTCTCTTCTGTTCTTTATCTTCCTCTTTTCTTGCTTTCTTCTTTCTTCTTACTTCTCTTTTTGCCTTTCTTCTCCTTTCTCCTTTATCTTTCTTTTTCTTACCTAATATTCTATTTCTTTTTATGAAGTTGTGTTAAAGTGATTATTCCATTTTATATCCTATTTTTAAAAAACTGCATATCATTAGAAATTTTTCATATCATTAACTATTCTTCCAAAATGTCCTTTCAATGGTGTTTACTGTTCTATGTTATTTATATTAATGTTGGTCATTTCTTTGCTAGTAGTATAAATAATGCTCTGAAGAAAACTTTATTAATTTCTCCACACTTTTTTTTCCTCATAGAATAAATTTCTGGGCCAATATTTTTAAAAACTCGCCATAGTTCCTGCTGTATTGCAGGAACTCAAGAGAAATTCTGCCAAGGCACACTTCTTTAAGCACTGGTTAAATGTGGCCTTTTGGTCACACCCTGGCCCCTACTGAGAATTGTCATTTTCCATAACTTTGAAAAATGCTCAGGTAGAAATTTTTTCTTTTTAACTCTCCTGTCTTTAATTATTAATGAAAGTTAGGATTTTAAGTATATTTTCTTAATATTCTCCTTTCTGCAAATTGTTTAAGTCATTTAAGCATTTCCCTTTGAGTATCCTGGTTTATGCATCAGTTTATATGGAGTATGCTGTGGCTTATATAGAAATTTTGTCAGATTTGTGGAAATTTTATTTAATTAAAGAATTTCTTTTTTAAAAACATATAGAACTATTTTTAGGTTCTCAATCTGTGTTTCTCTTTAGGATATTCTCATTGCCTTTATTCTTTGAAGTCATTTTCCAGTTTTATTTGTGGGCTGAATTTAAATTTTTTGCATTGTTATGTTTTACATAAATTTAACTCCTTTACCCCTTATTAATTTATTTTGATTCATTATGAGAAGTGAGGTTCTAACTGTATTTTTCTAAATTATCGACCAATATCCTACCACTGTTTATCAAATAATTCATTCTTTATCCACTAATCTTGATATACTTTATTATATACTGAGCTCTCATGGATAAATGGCTTAGTTTCTGGGCTGTTCTTCAAAATTTTAACTATTGTGGCTTTGAGATTCCACCTTAATTCTTTTTGCTTTTCATTTTGTCTTTTTTTTAAGTTTCATTTGTTTGTTTTAAGGTCCTTATCTTATAATTTTCTATCTTTCCAGGTGAATTTCAGGGTCACTTTATCAATTTAATAGCACAATTGGTGATTACTTTAATCTAAATTACATTCATTCTAAACAGTGATTTTAGAATGATCAATATATTTCCAGTTTTATTTTTTTCCATTTATAAACTTGATACAATTTTTTATTCATTTCAGTGGTTTTTTCATAGTAAAGTTTTGACATATTTCTATTATAGGACTGTGGGGTTTTTTTATAGATAGTCTGAAGCAGTTCTACATTTATAATTTTTAAGTTGCTATTTGAATGCTGTCTTTCTTATATTTTCTAACCAATTATTGGTATCAAGGAAATGTCTTTTATTTCTTTTGTATGTTTATTTTGACCATGGCCATCCTTCACATTTTTGGTGAATTATACTCATTATTTTTGCTACATAAGGTAAACAGTCATCTCTAGGTCTATCAGAATATACTCAATCAGAGTAAATAAGGATTAAGCTTTGAAGTCCTCCCACATGTATTTTTCCCCATAGAATAGAAATAAACCATTTACTTTTTTTCTTCTTTATTCCAGTCAGTCCATTGTACTGAGTGATACTCTGATGCCATTTCTAAAATTTTGCCTTTGTATCCTGACTCTTTCTTATAATGATAATCTTTCTATAGCTTAACTACTAATCTTTGCTCCTGGAGGAGTTTTGTCTTGTCATTGTGAAACACTGTGCAGGGTATCTTCAGTTGAGTCCTTTTTCTTCCCTTGGTTCTTAATTCTATACAAATAATATGGTTTTTTCATCAGGCTCAAATACCTTCTTTGCTGTAGCCCTCCTAGTATTGTGCTCAATGATGGTATCCAGGATTTGTTCCTAAAATTTTAAGTAAATCTTTACAGTTTCTAGACCCCTCAACTTAGTGCTTGTATAATATCCTCGTTACTGTATGATACTGGGCTTGGTACTGCCGGGGATACCCTTGAGACTGGTCTGATGATCCCAATACAGGAGCCTCCCCTTTGACCCTCACCTAATTACTAGCTATTTGAAATCCCATCTCTACTGAACATATCTTTTGCAGGGATCATGTTTTACAAGACAAAAAATCAAGCATTTTTTCCATTCCAGAGAAAGAAAAAAAGTCTTGTCAATGTTCAGTGAGGTCTTCCTGAATTATGTGTCATCATAGGACTATGTGATCCCAGGAGCATAGTGGGCTGAATTACAAATGCTATCACAGTGATTGTTTAGGCTTAGCGCTTTCTTTTTATGATATTTTTAGCTTATTTCTGAAAACTATTTGATTTATTCTTAGACTAATATCCCCTGACATAATGGAAGATTATAGCTGTTTAAGAGATAGCTCAGTGAATACATATTGCATGTGCGAACACAGGCACACACAGGAACACTCACTGGATGTTCTAAAACATAGGATTTCAAAAAAGAACTTTGGTTCTTTTACATTGCTAATTTTAGGAAATTCCAAAGTTAACAGGAACCACATTAATAATTATATTTTGGTTGGGGAGTCTTATTGTATGTAAAGCATATAGTTGGTTCTTTTTATTTTGGGGGTTTGACATGAGAAAAAGTATTTGGAGTATTTGTTATATATATATATAATTTGTTTCATCTATGAAAAAAAATCTCTATTTGGTATGGTTGTTTTAACATAAAAATTGTAAATATACTGGATGTAGTTAGCTTGAATTGTGAAAGAGTAATTTCCCATAAAACTAGGAAGTACAAGATTTCGATGTATTTCATCATTAGTTTCAAAATGTATTACTTAGGCTCATTTATTATGCCTAGTATTGATTTATTGTATTTAAATGAAATTTAAATTTTATAACATGTTTTAGTTCTTTCTCCCCCTTAGAAACTTTATTTTAATAAGTTAATATTTTGGTCATAACTTAGAATTAAGTGAAGATTGGTACTCTTTTAGAAGATTGAAATTGAGTATAATGTTTGAAATAGTTTATATGCCCTGTTCTGCTGTTAAGATATGAAAGGAATGTTAAAGCGCTGTCAACGGACTCTAAACCAGCAAAGCGCCGGAGTAGAGAATCATATTTTTATAGTACATGAATTTATCAAGTTATTGCTAAAACCCAGAAGCAGCAGGGATGAAAAATCAACAGATTAATTAGTTAACATTCTGCTTGTATTTTATGTTCATGACTAATCATTTGCTTATTTTGAGGGAAATGATTTTTTATTAAAATTGTTAAGACTCATTTCAAAGGGAGAGTGTTATATAATATTATAATTGAATATTCCCTGCCTTGTTTCACAGCAGGTTTTTTGGACCAAAGTTAATGCTTTCCTTCCTAGGCATCTGGAATGATGAACTAGTATTTTACTAAAAATAATCAGTGATCAACCTTTATAAAATTAAGTTCAAATAAAGTTGGGATGTGTGATTTGGATACCTGTCAGCCTCCAGCTTTGGCTTTAGCGGCTTTTTGCTTTAGTTTGATTTAGATTGAGTATTAATCTGAATTTTTTTTCTTCTTTTTTTTTCCTGAAACAGTTCTAATTTCTTTAATTAAAATAACTGTTAGGTATTGTAATGCTGTTCATCCCAAGTCATGAGTAGATTCCTCTTTATTCTTGATCCAGGCTTTCAAAGTCATTCACATCAAAATGCTGAGACTTGCCCGTATCAGTGAGGCAAAAACTTTGTTTTGATTATTCCCATTTGTGGGGAAATTTTCCTACATATGGAAATACAAGAGACATAATCTGGAGTCCCCAAAATCTTACTGATCTAATATACAATACAGAAATTTCTGTAATGCCAGTTCCCAATTTTTTGTGTGTTTCTAAAAAAAAAAAAAAAAGTTTAAGTGTTATTCTATATAAGTTTTAAGAAATATTTTGAGGCAGAACCAGACACCTTAATTTGCCTTTAAACTGATTTGTTTAGTCAGCAAAGTTAAATCACTACATTAAGAAAAGAATGCTTATTCTTTGGTTTTCATGACCAAGGGAATTTTCTTGTAAGTGACCGTGTTCTTGGACATGTTAATGATAAATAAATTTTGAAACAAGAAAATACACATCAATATGGATTATCAAGAGGGAACAAAGTTGATGTGCCTTAGAATAATGGAACAGGCAAGCACTTCCCCTGTGGGGGAGCTAAATTCAAACCAACAGATCCCTAAGAGGAAATAATTACTGGACATTTTCAATTTAAATCTTGCATAGGTCAGAATCATGCCATGGTAGGAATTTCTTGTGGAAATGATTTATTGAAATAAGTCATAAGTCTCCTCCCCAACATTTGACACAGTATCTAGGGTATGTTAGGGTAAATCTGTTACCTACTTTGATCTGTATCAGGGTCAGCCAGTCCAGATTAAAGAGCTCATCATTGGAAAAGAATATTTCCTAAATATAAATAAAGTGCTTCCTTCCATTTTTAGAGCTTGTTCTGGCCTTAGAATTTTGAAGGTAGCATTGGTTTTATAACCTCAGTTTCTTCCTTTATTTATTTTTCAGTATAGTGTCACCCCTGTGTCTGTGGATCTGAGTATAACACACCCATGTTAAAGCTTTCAGCCTATCCTTTGAAAATTTGTGATTTACATTGAATAGAGCTGATAATCTTTACTAACAGTTATAAATTCTTTGGAGACATCTGTGTCCAATATTTAGGATGAACAGGGACCCCACCAGCCTTCCCAATCAAGGGAAGCTCTGTCATTGTTTTCATGTGACTCAAGAAGCAGCTCTTATTCTCACATCTTTATATAGCTCTTTTAAAACCTTTCTTTTAACATAATCATGTTTTAAAGTTATCTATTTACACATTTATTTAAAAGACCTTCTAAGAATTCTAGCATCAAGATTGAAGGTAATTTGACTTAATTTTTTTTCCTTGAGTCAGTAGAAATTAACCTGACAGTAGAAACAAAAAGAGATATTTAACTCACAGATATTATTGATGCTTGTCTATTCTTTTTAAAAGGAAGAATCATTAGCACATGCAAGTATTATCTAACAGATACCAAGCCAGCTATAAACTTGGCTATGGGCTTTATTTTAATAATATGACTTAATTCAACATCACATGAGGTCAGGAGAGCTATAGTCTAGTATACCCCCACCCCACCCCAGCTTTCTATGTCTCTCAACATCCCATGAGTCCTTTAACCATACCTAGTTACTAAGTTGAAAAGACTGTGAACCCATCTAATTCCACTCAGTGTTGAAAACTGGCATGGGGGTATCCTCCTCAAGGATTTAAGAAAAAGACTTGTGCTTACATACCTACACTAGCAGCTGGCAGGCTGTGCTTTCTTTGAAAACCTACCAGGGAAGCTTTTAAAAGAAGCCCATAGTATTTTGGTGATGAAAATTCAATAAACCTATTCACTTAGCTTTTTCTGGGATGCATATTATAATATGATAAAAATGCAAATGAATAATACCTTCCCCATGTTCCTTATTTTGTAGTTTTTAGTGTCTTTAGAAAGGTTAATTTATTTGCTATAGATATTAGACACAGTGTTAGATTTAGAATCTAGGTCTCAACTAGTAATCCTGTGCCCACTTATTCCAATTAATGATGATAATCAAAGAATAAAGACAACCTAGATAAACCACAGTTGTTAACTGCTAGCTCATTGTGAATCTTTAAAAATTAGAATTGGGAAAGAAATTTTGACTCTAGACAGAAACAGGCAATCAAAATATGGTTATTCATTTGTTTTGAATGCTTCTACTTGCTCATTAATTAATTAATGCTTTTTAAAGATCTCAATGTCCTTGGTTTGGATAGTTTAAGAAATCTCAGGAGAAGGTTTTTAGCTGCTGTAGAATAATGGTAACAGGATAAAAATGAAAGAGGCTAATGTGAAGATTTTACTTCTTAGTTTTTTAAAAACTGCATATTTTTAATGTTTTTCTGTCACAGAATTAATGAGTTGATTTTTATTTTTCACAAATAGAAATAGGTGTGTGGAGTAGTTACTTTATTTTAAAAACAGAATATCTACATTTTAAAAATGGAGATTAGGGAATTTGAATATCTATTACTTCAATTTAAAATAAAATTATTTGATGAATAAAATCCTGAAGGTATATTAGCTCAGATTTCTCTTTCAGACTATTTTAATTATAATGAAAAAGTTTAATAATCTACTATAATGAAATCCTGAGTGAGTACTAAATAAAAATAAATGTCTTCGGAGATATGTTGGTAAAAAGGAGTTAATTGGTACCTGATAGTATGTTGAATTGATATTTTTCCCCAAGTTCTTTGAAGTTGAGTTTATTTCTTAAATAAGGAAATCTTAGATGAAAGAACATGAAAGCAAATTATTCCCCTTTTATCCTCATGCTTAAATAATATGTTACATGCAAAATTATTATTTTAAAAATGATTATTTTGTCATAAGTATGAAATTTATTTTATTTATACTAATTTTTGAATTTTTTCTACTAAATCATTGCAAAGACTGTCAACCCTCTAACAGTAGTATTAGTATTAATTTTTCTAACATGCATGATTCATTGGACCCCACAATAGCTATAGCTTGCTTGCCTTGTTTTTTCCCTGAAATTAAACAAAAGAAAACGTGCAGTAAAGTCCAATGAACATCTGCTCTACGTAGCAAAACAGCAGAACAACTGAAATCTTAATAAATTAATATTTTATTGCTTCATATGTGGATTTTGGAGATCCATACAGATATGACTCCTCTGAACTTTCTATGTTGAATGTGCACTGTTGTTAAACTACTTGTTTTTTCCCTGCCTGCTCTTTGAAGAAGTCAATTAGGAATAATGGGAAACAAGGGGTAGGCAAAACATTGCAGTGCAGTGTTATTTCCATCTGTCTGGGAATATTTCAGCCAAAAGTTTATTTTGGGAAAAAAAAAAAGCCGCAATGCATTCACACACAGAAGACCACAAATACTTTGGCTGCAAATTATTCTGCAGTGTTGTTGCTCTGTTGTTGCCCGTGTGTGTTCTTATATGTAAAGCTACCACCCACCCATGCATGTGTTTGCAGATTCTTGTCTGTGTGCTTGTTCATGAATTAGCTCTCATCTTCCTCATGTTTAGGTTAAGTTTATTCAAGGAACAAGAATTTATGGGTATGACTGTTGGCTGGAAAGCCCTTCCCTCACATCTGAGTCTTCCTTCCAAACTACATCTTCTGCTGAGATTTCTCAGTAGGGCGACATGCTCAAAGATCAGTCAACCAGTCTCTTCTATGTTACCTGGCACTACATAGGCCCTTGATGGATCTTGGAAAACAACTTAATATGTTTAATATGTGCTGCTTAAGTTCTCTGCATTGGAAATGTGAGAAATTGAATTGTCTTGGTTCTGCTTGCCAAATGAGCAGTAATGAAGACACCAGAGTCTCTAAACCCATCTATGCCCCACTTTTTAGTGGAAAGAAAAGCCCAAAGTAGCACCTTTTAATGGACCAAAATATCAATAAAGAAAGGAATTCCCTATATGAAACTAACATAATTTTAAATCAACATTTTCTAAGGTAACTGGAATTGTGTGATATTCTCATTTTGCCTTCTCACTAACAGAATACCCATAACTCTTGTTGGTTATTTTGTCTCTAAAGTTAATTTCTGGGCCATTGGTGGCTACAATATCTACTGTTATAAATTGTTGTCTTAACTACATTCTTTAAAAATGTAATGTTGAAGGCACATAATATTGAAGATGACTCCAGGATGAACCCTGAGTTTGCAGACCGACTAAAACAGCTTGATAAAGAGGCATCTTACTACCGTGATGAGTGTGGCAAGGCCCAAGCCGAAGTGGACCGGTTGCTGGAGATCCTCAAAGAGGTGGAAAATGAAAAGAATGACAAGGACAAGAAGATCGCAGAACTTGAGAGGTAAGTTTTACAGACATGTGAACTGTCAGTGCTGAGTGAGCACTGATGACTTGGTTGTCCATTTCAGGTTGTGGTTAGATTTAGAATGCACATTTGCACGCTCGGATTACAAGTTGGAAACATGTTATATATGAGGAATATGGCATGATAAGAGATGATGTTGTTTCTATGGGATACCAAGAAAGTAATTGGCTTATCTTTTGAAGGATTATGTACTTCTTCAGTGTTTAAAGAAATAGTGGTTGCCTTTCTTGAGTGATGTTTGTCTGTTCTAGCATTTGTGCCAGCAGTGTACATAAAAATTTGACTACCTGAAACCTCTGTTCTTTCCCATTAAAGATGAACAGTTGTGGTGTATGGTTTGTCTTGAGCAAAAGAATATGGAAGAATACAATTGGGAATTCTTCACTCAAGATAGGAGGAAGGGAAGGGAGCTGATATCTTTTGGATGTCTTTTGGCACATTACAACAATTTCATCCTTGAGATTTATCTTTTGAGAGGATCTTATAGCACTTGGAAAATAAATATGCTTGAATAGGGCCTACACGATAGCAAATTCTGTCTGAACACAAGGAGGGTTGTATCAGGGTTCCAAAGTATTTAGATTTTCAGATAAATCATATCCATATTATATTCATGTGTAGTGGGATCTCTAAAAATAAGCTTCCTATCAATGCTTTTTCCTATATTTCATATATGGGAAGAACTTTCTGAATAATCTTACGTAATTCCATAACCTCTAAGGATTTCTCATTGGTTCAGCAATAAGGCAGAATTTGTCTTTCTTAGATTCAGTCCATATGGAAGAGATCAACAAAGTTTGAATAAATCAGTGAATGTTTGCCAGGTCTGATCAAGACACTTGTGAGGCCCTAAAGGACTTCAAGATATATGCAAAGTAGCTCTTTGTGGCCTTGCAGAAAGATGATGGACTTTAGCAAAAGAAAGACCAGGGTTCATATTTTGTGTTGGCTTTATGCTAGCTGTGTGGCCTTGAATCTTTTTGGAAATGAATCTCTAATAGCCTTTTAAGATGTGTTATGCTTTGCAAGCACCTAGTCCCCATGCAAGAAGATGAAATGATGTTTATATCATTATTATTAACAGTTGAATGCTAAAAAAATATTTAGTATTAAGTGGCTCTGTACTTAATGTATAGGTTATTTGCAATAAAATTTCAACAACTTTTTCAAATATTAAATTAATTAGTAATTTCTTTCAATACCCTTAGCCTAAGTTTAATGATGATCAGGTAATTTTGGTTCAGTGTGACCAATCTTAGTAAGGAAGGCAAGAACCTCTTTCATCTTGAGGCCACCAAACAAATAAAGTTCTTAAGGATTCTGCTTTCATTTAAAAATGTGGGAATGTTCTGCCAGTCTACTGATTCTTAAAAAGCTGGGGACACTGTTGATTTTAGATATATCTATCTACATGACTATTTTGAAATTATATTTCAGTGCCACAGTTTTTCTAAAACAGCTACCATGAGATCACAGGGAAGTTATGTCTGTGTCTTTTTTATTGGTGAGAAAACAAAGACCTCAAAAAGTTGAGTGACCTTCTGGAGATTGGTCCCATGGTCAGAAAGATGAAAAACTATAACGTTATAGTTATAACATTATGTTTCTGGACTGACTTCTCATCCACTGCTCTGAGAAGCAGTGAGCCCTATGGCAGATATCCTAGATAATAATACCAATAGTATTAAAAATAGCAATTATAATCATAATGATAGAGTCAGTATATTTTATGCTTAGTGAGCCAGATAGTCTGCTAAACACTTAAGCTGCAATAGGGTATACATTTAATCTTACCCATAACACAGAAACTATCACGATCTCCATTTTATAGATGAGAAATTATGACATATACAGATTAAGTAACTTTCTTAAAGATTGCAGAACTTGTAAGGTTCAAAGTCGGGATTTGAACTCAGGAACAACAGAGGAGATACTGAGAACAATCCCTTCCACCAATGGGCCAAAATGGAGAAACGAGTCCAGCAGTGCCAAGCAACCTACTGAGAGCCCTTCCTGAGCAGGCATTGCAGGGCAACCACAAGAGATCTGCCTCTTCTTTATTAGTTTTCATGAAGGAAAGTGATGTGCCCCATGTTCAGAAGGCATTTTTCTTTATTAAACCAGCTCCCCAGAACTGTGATTGAAAATAAGGATTTAACTACTATAAACATTTACATATAAATACCTTAATTGTCTAGTTGGGCAAACAGGTCTTAGCTAGACACTATTGCCATTAAATCATCAAGAATATTCACAGTTTTATTTCTTCAATATGGAATGCATTAAAGCAGCAGTGATTTTTACAGGCATTTATCTTTATGTACTTTCTGCACATTTTCTTTATCTTTGCCTTTGCCTCTCCTTAAAGCTGATGCCTCCCAGGCTCTGTAATTCATAAAACGTGTGGTGGGACTTGACTCTGTCCCAGGTCTCTGCCTGCCTGTGTCTTGGGTCCAGCAGCAGAACATAGTCTGGGAAATGTCTGAGCCCCAGCTCCAGCATACCCCCTAGGGAGGCGGGGGTGGAGATCTAGAGGGGAAGCATCTTGGTAAAAGGAGGACTAAGCTTTGGCCTGCCTTTCTGAAGCATGATCTGCTGGGCTACATGTGTATTCCGACTAAAACATCTTCCTTGAGTTGTCAGGCAGTTGCTTCTACATTTGCTGGCTTAAAGTACAAAATTCATACCTCATAATGTTGGGAACTAAAGATTTCTTAGCAATATGATATAGATCTCCATTTTGGAGTCATTGAGAGAAGGGCTTACAATTAAGTTTGTTATTTTGAAAACCAAAATATTTATCTTGAAATAAATTTTTCGTCTCTGGCTTATAATGTGACCTACCAGAGTGAAAGGGCCTTTTAAAAAGCAACTTGTATTCTAAAATATGACAAAACTTCAGTCACATACAACAAGAGGTACAGGATTAGGAGTAACTCAAATGATACTGGCCTGCTTCTCTCTGAGGGCAGTTTGTTTGTTTTTATTTTGCTAATCATCTCACAATGGACATGTTCCTAAAAGCAGATGGCTGACATTTACCTCTTAAATTCTGTTCAAATGGTATTTTTCATCAACCATTAAAGATCTTCTTTTTAAGGTGCACACTGCTCTAGTGTGGTCCCATATGCACTTCTGCCTGTAAACTCTTGTACTTGATTCTGACAGCCCAGTTGGAAGCTTCTGCCTTTGACTAGAGGCTGCAAAGGTGGAGGACCTTGAGTATATCCCTGAGAGTTGGTCAAAAGCGGTCTGATGTTTTGTTTCATCACCAATGCCAGAATCATAACCATGTAGCTAATTAAACCTTAGAGACACTGAAATATGTGGCGCTTCTGTATCAGTGCCCTTCAAGGTCTCTGAGTTCTATTTAAAGTTTCAGAATTAATCCTGTGGTGCCTTAGGGGAAAGAGAGAAGTTAATAGAGTCTGTCAAACAAGACCTACTTCCACTGGATTTCTTGCATCCCACCCATGGGAAAGGATCAGTCAGGTTACTTTTCATGTAATTATCTTAAATCTGTTGGGGGATTTTGTCTGTATTTGACTAGAAGATGGGGAATGCCCAAATTGAGTCCTCTATCACAATTCCTCCCTGCAGTGGCGGGGTCCCAAGGGCTTCTTCTCGTAAGACATACCATCAGACTGGAAAACAGGGTACCACTTAATTATCTGGATGGAGTACTAATGCCGCCAGACATTTGGACATTGAGAAATGATTTTAGGTGCCTAACAGAACCTTATCTAAGGTTGAAAGAGAAACTATTATTTTTCCTTCTGATTTGCTCAATAATGTGCTGACATAATTTCCTTGATGCCTTTCAGAACTCTTTTCAAAACATAAACTTAAACTTTGTTATTTCTAAAGTATGATAATGTGTTCTGAAAGTTCCATAGCACATGGAAGAAACTTGATAGAGTTCTTTTTGTTTTGATATACACTCTTCTTGCTGAGTAATTTCCACTTATGCTCATTAATGTATTTGAAGGAATTTCTTTAAATCAAGTGGCAGATGGCTGTATACTGTCTCTGACGACCTTTTGGGGAGGACCATGAATGTCATGGATGCTTTTGAGAATTTGATGAAAACTAGGAATTTTTGGAAAAGGCAGCTAACTCTTAAATGTGTGCTTGCTATTTTAGTTTAGGATTCCCTAAATTGGCCATGGACCTTAGCCTAATTACCTCTGATCTGAAGGATTTGAAATGACAGCTGGGCCCAGTATTGCTGAAGTCTCCACCATGACCTAACTCATTTTTGATCAACTGTACATTTATGATCACAAAACACTTTGTAGAGAGATCTCAGATATGAGGGATTATCAAATCATCACTTTCACATGTGTTTAATATTGAATTTTAGCTTTGATTTTTAATCATTCTAGTCAAATACTGTTTTCACTTGAAATGTTCTAGCATAGGCTTTATCCTAAAGATTTATTGTTTTTCCTTCCTATGTGAAATACTTAAAATTACTTATAAACAGTGTGGAATGGTGAGGTTCCACTGAGCAGTTAGCTGGTAAAGTGTTTATCCACTGTGTTTTGGCAAAGGGTATATTATAGATTAACGAGAAATATTCACTATGTTCCTGTGGGAGCCTGGAAGATGAACATGACATTTTTCTTTTAATTTTTGTTTATCATTAGAGACTACTGTTTTGATTGATTAGAAGGACATATTAGACATTTTTTGTGCTTATAAATTAAGCATCTGGATATTCTCAGTGATGAAGTCGGAATCCCATTTCACAACTGAGAAATATTACTCTTAGTTTGGAACTTACTCTGCTGTCTCTCGGAAGGCTGACGGGCAGGTGGTACCCCACCAGCAGCCCTCCTCACAAAGCCTTTGATCATTGCTTAGGTAGAGTACTCTGTGAACATCTAGGAAGGAAATCTTTGAACTAAAAGCCAAACTGCTCAGCTCCTTTTGTTTTTCAGAAATAAAGGAAAAATATCTCATAGTATATAACCATTCAATGTACTGGTTCATATAAAAATTCCTCTCAGTTTAGTGCTTACTTACCACCAGTTCTAACACCTTAGTAATTAACCATTTCTGTTTATTAAATAATAAAAGTTTATATTCACACAGATAGGAACTTTCTCTAGCCCTTCAGAAAGTATGCTGATACCACCTCTAGTTGGTATCAGTGCTTGCTATTATTGTACTTAGAAGAGCAGGTACCAGTTTCTTAAGTATGATAGTTAATAGAAGAGCTTACAGTTTGTGCCCAGGGCTTCTGGGGGGTGATATCCGATAAAAGTTGCTTTATTGTCCTTTGTTTGGTTATAAAACCTGCTAATATGACATCTGTTGGCTGTATGTTTAAAACTAATGTGTTTCCTTCCTTTTATTCTCTTTTGCTATCCCTTTTCCTTTCTGCTTATCCTCCAAATTGCTGCTTTCACCCTTGCTCCAATCAGCTTGACTTTCAGGTCAGTACTTTCAGTTTTTCTCCTAACCGCCTTTCCCTCCTAAGCTCAATTTATTGCTTGCACTTGTTTAACAACACATTTCTGAAATGGTTTTCCTCTGGCCACCACATTTTTTTCCCATTTCCATCCCATGCCTCGGGAAGGTTTATTTTATGAGAAGGCCGAATAGGTGGGAAAAGCAAAGAAGAAGGAGAAAATAAATCACTGTTGGATTATTTGATAAATTTGATTCCTGGATTATAAAATAAAACCATCGTGATAATTCCCTAATGCATGCCTCCTGAACAGTTTGAAAATCTGCATGACGACACAGTGTGAATCTGTGGAAAAACAAAATGCAAGATGCTAAATTTAACCTGGGAGAACAAAAGATCCCTCCATGACGCAGCAACTTAAAAGCTAAATTTAATAGTGCAAACCATTCAGACTTTTCGATAAATAAATCACTGTGATTTGAAAGATTTATAATACTTTTTAAAAGTCACTTTAAAAAATTATCAGTGTGTTAGTAACATATTGTACACACATGTTATTTCCTGTCATTGTTTTGGTTTTAACTTTTTAACTTCATTTTTATTAGCCAGAAGATATACTTTAATTACCTAGGACATAGCATATGGAACCAAATGTCAAACTAGATTCATTGTTGACTATGTGTGTACCCCGATATTAAGAAGCGAAATGGATGTTTTGCTTGAAAATGCATCCCAGATTTGATTTCTCTAATATAAAAGGCTCAACACAATAATTTCCTTTTCCTTAATTCCAGGAAGACTTCGCTTTCTGATAGCACACAATAATAGTCAATGATTTCTTCATCATTCAATTAATGAGTTTACTAATAGATGTTCATTGTATGATTTAGAGCTATTTATAGGCTTCAAAAAAAGAAAGTCTTAGGTTTGGAGTGTAGCTCAGTGGAAGAGTGTAGGAATCATAGGCCTTGAAATCAGTCTCCTGCAATCCAGAGAAACGGAAACAAAACATACAGAAAAAAAAAAAAAAAAGGAAAAAGAAAGCTTAAATTTGTAGTCTATTGACTACTCTAAAAAAGTTGCTCTTTTTGAGAGGTACAGTATAATTTTTTCCTCGTCTTGATGCAGGGTCTGTATGTTTTATTCTGTCTTATCCCCTAAGCTACCAATCAGTGCATTTACTTCGGCAGCAAATAATCTCAAAACAAGGACTCCTGCTCAAAGACCAGTTTTGTCCCATCACAAGCTCCCGATCATGGTGGCTCACAGTTCTTGACTTTTTCTCCACTGTTCCTACATACTGTGTTGCACACTCCACAGGAACTGCCTGAACTCCACCTTGCAGAAGGAAGCTCTACTTTCAAATGTTTCACCAGCAGAGGTTTAATTAGATATTAGAAGCATAGCTCTACAGAATTACTCTCACCAAAAACCTAATGTCTTCTGGAACAGACCGAATCTGGTGCAGAAATCCAGCCATCATAATGGAAGGTAGTTAGGAGGCTTGGGCACATGATATCCAAACCTTTGCTTCAAGTTCTGGATCCACTCATTTAGTGAAGCTTTAAGCTTTCTCCTTGCTTTTTATTTATTTATTTTTCTTTCTCCTTTGCCTTCCTTTTGCTGCTGCTAACCTGTACCTCACAATATTGAAATCCTTTAGACTGGGTCCTCTTTTGATCTCATACCTCAGGCCCCCTACCTGGTCCTTCAGTTTTTTATTGATGTTCTGCTGTGTTTCTTATGCACCAGGAACTTGGCTGGTGGTACTTAGTTTTCTCCTATTTTATGGTGAATGAACATAAGTTCTGACTTTCAGAAGGTACAGTTCAGGGGTAGGCTGGTAGGGGTTCTGTGTAACCAATGGTTCTCTGGGTAAAAGGGCTGGGTGTGCAGAATGGGTTTGGTAAAATATACTTGCCAGATCCAGCTGGATAATCTATAGGGATTAAGTCAAGGTTCAGATCATTCCAACATAATTTAACCTGTTGCCTCAAATGAACATAATAGAGAAAATATGCAATCCTTGTGAATAATCTCTAGTTATATTTTTATTGTAAGAGGAATTGGGCACCCCTGTCCTGCTGGAAACAAAAAGTCTGTAGAATCTTGGAAGCTTTCTTGAACTTTGACAAGTTTCCACAGTTAACTATACATTTTTTCCCCCCAAGCACTTCCAGTTTTATCAGTTAAAATAAAATGAAACGTAACAATTGAATTGAGTGCATCCAGGATCTCTGGCCCATATGCTTTCTTTGTATGCCTTACAGTTGAGACACATATGTGTATGTGCATGCATACATATATATGTGTGTGTATGTATATACAAATATCAGGGATTATAGAAAAATCTTGTGTGATCTTTCTCATCAATAGAAGTTTGTGACCTGCCCTGCATGTTCCCACCTCCTAATCTGAGGTTTTAAACTTTGAAAACTCTGGGGCTTTTTTTAATGTGCTGTGGGCTTCATGGGAAGTTCTTCACTCCAAGAGCTTTCTTAGGTAATCTCATTTCCTTTTCAAACTCTGTGTGTACTCTCTTTCTTAAATTCAGGTGGACAGGTATTAAGTATTGGGTTTGGTAAAATGCAAATGTCATATTCTAAACCTGCTCAAGTCTGCACTTCAGTAAATTCCATTTCTGTCAAGAATCTCTTTTATTCAAGCTTTATATAGAAGCTGGAGAGGTTTAACAGGATCCCTGCATTGCAATCAGGGAGAGGGTTGATGTGAAGCTTGCTCACTTCTAGGAACTCTTTGTGAGATTAGCATGTGACTTATGACAGATGTGGTTATCTCTATAAATGAATGCAGGAATTGAGGTTTTTTTTTTTTTTTTTTTTTTTTTTTAAGAACAAATATCCTCTGGGATTCAGTTCAAAATCCTGCCAGAGAATCAACCAAACAAAACCAGAAGGCTTGGGCCTCTCCCAGGCTCTCCCATCTTCCAGTTTACTCTGGATCTTGGGTCAGCCATTTCCTTGTTTGGGCCTCAGTGTCCCTTCTTGGAGAGGAAGGAGCCCTGTTTGGGGCAAATCCTCTGGGATCCACCCTGCACATGTGCATCACATGTCTGACGGGTGGGGGCCCAGGGGGTGGTTGGTGATGGGCCTCATGCATTTCCCTGCAAGCAGGCTCACACTGATGGCTGGCGCCTGGCAGCAGGTGTGAGCTCATTGTTACAGAGTCACTTCAAACACTTCTACGAAAATAAACTCTTTGTGATGTTTCCCCAAAGTTGAACACTGTGCTCTCAATCCCTCATTCTTTGAGCAAAAGATGAAGTCACTCCTCCCAGACCTCAGAGGCCCGTTTCCCAAGGAAATAATGAAAAACACCTTGTCCAGAGCATCCTCTTACTGTCCTGCAATTTGGTAGGGTCAATTGTTTGCCCCATTTCCTCCACACATACATAGTGAGTACCTACTGTGTGAGAGGCTGGGTACTACACACTGACTTGGCATTTCCAAGAATAGCTGATGAAAAACTGACCAAACCATAATCATGTAAGAAATGCTACATATGACATTTTCCATTTTATATTCATGATGCATGATGATGATAATAATAATAATAACAGGAGCAGCAGCAATAGCAATAATATATTTTATATAGTGTGGTAAAATGTACTTACCAGATCCAGTTGGATGATCTATAGCGATTAAGTCAAGGTTCAGATCATTCCAACATAATTTAACCTGTTGCCTCAAATGAACATGATAATGTGCAATCATTGTGAATAATCTCTGGTTATGTTTTTAGCGTAAGAGGAAATAGTATATTAACTTAAGTGCCAGCACTAGACTGATCACATTTTACATAGTATTCACTTCTCATAACAACTGAGTTTTTATTAGACAAGAGGAAACTGGAGTTCATGAAAGTTGGATATTTTGCTCAGGTTAATACAGCTAGTAAGTAAACAAATGTGTGTGTGTGGGGGGGGGCTCCCCGGGGGGGGGCTCCCCCAAAGTCAATCTTTCTGCTTTACATATTAGTTCTTATGCCACTCCTGGTGTGATTACACAATAAAAGCTCTGAGAAGACCTGCAATAAAGAATCTGTGCTGTTTTGTTCAACCTGCAGTTTTGCAAATATGGTTCATAGACTATATTCCATGAAGCATTTGGGGAAAAACCATCCTGCCTGCTGTGCAACCAACCTTTCTCTTCATTCTTAGATTTTCTATTACCCTGGTTTTTCTTGTACAGATCCTGCCTCTCAAGGGTCAGGTGTTATCTCTCCTTCTCAGCCATCCCTCAGTCTGCTGGCCTGATCTCTGTGTCTGTGCAGCATGTCATGCCCTATTCTAAAGATGCCAGTTTTGCTCTTGAATGTTGATGAATAGATGACTGATAAACGAAACAACTTTTTCTAGCTTTTTCTCTCACTTTCTACCTTTTATTTCTTCCTTATTCTCAGTTCCCAGAGAGAGTTGCTGGTGGGCTCTTTCTGGAGGCTTGAATTGACAGCAATGGCTAGAAAACCTAGCTTCAGACAGGAAGCCCAAAGAAAAGATGATTGCTTTTCTGTCAGGCTGCAGCTTGAAAGTTCAGGCGAAATAACCCACCACCACCACCACAAAAGAGGGGAACAGATCTCTGTCTGAACTATTCTCATCACCCCCCTACCCTCCTGTTTCCTTCTTCCTCTTCCCCTTCTTCCTATATTATTCATTGAAATCCTTCTTTGTGGAAGGGTCTGTACTCAGTGTTGGGGATATGGCAGGAAAACAGATATGACCCTTCCCCTTGCCAATTCAAAGACCAACATTTCCTATAAGGAAGGATTTGACCACTAAAAAAAAAAATAATTTGTCCTGTTTATACTAATAACTGGAAAAACTGGGTTTCAGGTGTGGTTTTCCCCCCGCTTTCCTGTTAGGGTGAAAGGGGTTATCCACAGGTCAAAAAACCATTTCCCTCTTTAAAGCTGCCTTATACTAATGCTGACATTTCTGGTGAAGTGTCAGAAAATTTTATGCCCAAGCAAAACTGGTAGAAAGCCAGAAATTGGCTGATTTTG